GTGGGGCGGGGGGGGGGGCATTGATGAAGGACCACTGGTTCAGTCACATTAACAACCGTAGCTGGAGCCTGTCGCAGCAGAGGTGTGTCAGCTCAGAGTTGTGATTTATTATTAAAAGAATAAAAGTGTTTGGACCACAGGGATAAGTTACTGTATATAAGAGCATAACTGATGCTGCGTTCCCACCACAAGCAGATAAAATGATGTGTAATGGAGTTTTTATTAGTTTCACTGTTAGTTTCTGATCATAATATTGGAGGCATTATAGATATATACATTATTCTTATTATTACAGGAATATGTATTACAATACAAACAAACATAAACATATTCACCAGCACCTCGTTGTCCTTCTTGTGCTCACAAATTTGACCAAACTGACAAAACTAAAGACATTTCCTGTATATTTTAATTTTATTTTAGTTTGTTTTGGAAGTTCACAGTCAGTCAGTTTTTATTGATTGCAGCCATTTTGTGACACAATCCAGAACTTATTAATTTATTTCAATATCGATCTGTCTTACTACGATGTGACACAATAACTGAAACTACTGCAAATAAACTCATATAACCGATAAGCTATGAGATGTACATATTGGAAAGAAAAGAGTGAAGCAGTTTACAGCATCCACTTCTGTCCCCTGATGATGGGTCTTTGATTGTTGCCGTAGTTAGTAGTCCAAACTGGTTACTGTATGTCCTGAGTTACTGCTGCAACCTTGTCCACAAACAGAACCAGAACCAGGTTCAAGGATCCGGATTTGTGTTAATGGACCTGATGTGAATCGGGTCCCTCAATATTATTTTATTTTCCTGTTTTTAATTGGAACAATAAAGAATAAAACAGCAAAAACATGAATTTTTGTGCAGAACTGAACCAGCTGCAGAACAATCTGCTCATTTCTGCTGCATTTTTCAAACATTCAAATATTATATTAATAAAACAATGTAAAGTCTGTGAGTGAAGGTCAGAGCTGCAGTCGCTGTTTATCTGTCTGCATCAGCTTAATGTGTGTGTGTGTGTGTGTGAGTGTGTGTGTGTGTGAGCGTGTGTCTGTGTGTGTGTGTACTATGATGTTTATGACCTTGTTTATTGTTTCAGAGACTTCAGACTGAATCAATTCTGTTTTTTTTGGTGTTGATCTCTTTACAGTGAAAACGTCTTTGTCTCAGCTTTTCATTAAATTATATATATTATTGTCTTTTTACTTATTATTATTTAATTGCATTCATGTTTTAAATTGAATATAAGACTGTAGGAATCCGTCTAGTGCAGGGGTGGGTGACCCTGCCGCTCTCCAGTGGCTCCTGTGACTTTAACAAAGAATTATATGGAAATAAATTCACATTTTCATTTCACATTCTCCAAATGTCACCATTTCACACCAAATTAAAAAACACGTCTCAGAGGAGATTTGTTTGCTTTCATAATGTCCTAATGCAATGGAATTGTTGTTCACTGCTCCAGTAAATAGGACGAACTTTAGATACGACTTGAAACCGGAGATATTTCTAGTTCCCTCTGCTCAGAGAGCACTTGGGCTCTGCTACAACACAGAGAGCTAACGTTATGCTAGCAGCCAGAGAGCTAACGTTACGCTAGCAAGATTCAAAGTCAGTAACACTGCGTACAGTCGACAAACTGTAAATATAATCTGACAGTTTAACAACAAGACCAGCAGCTATCGGTCAGGTCTTTAACAAATCAATATCGAGATTTTCACTAACAATAGCTCATGTGTGCCAACGGACGCAGATATCACATATTCAGATTTCAATTAATTTTATTAATTTAGACAGTTTTACTGGAACTACTTAGTATGTGTCCTACATCAGGAATTAATGGACACCCAGCAGCCAATCAGAATGCAGTATTCAGCCAGACCATGATAGTATGAGGTAGTATGAGGCAGTATGAGGCAGTATGAGGCAGTACTCACTGATCTCCAGCTGTCTCTGGATGCGGTCCTTGCAGCGGTCACGGTACTTGGACTGCGTGGTGTTGTACTCAGTCATCACCTCCACAAACTTACGTGACAGCGTCGAGTGCTGCAGGACAATGAGAGACAGGAAGCAGAGAGAGAAAGACAGGAAACAGACGGACAGACAGAAAGCAGAGAGAGAGGAAAAAAGGTCACTTTACAGGTTCAGATATTTAATTATAACAACTATAACAACGTATTTTTTGTCAAATTTTGGTAAATAAAATCTAGATATTTGAAGCAACTTAAGCTGTCAAAAAATAGATTCTAATATAATATTATAATGTTATTTATATAATTTAAAAACTATATATAAAGTAGTAGTGTAACGATTTTCTCACGACTTTAATATAATAAGATTGAAGGCTGAAAAATATTCCTCAGAATCTATAAAATATATTTTCCTCATTAAATTAAAGAATCCTTTATTATTTCTGAGGTTTAAACTGTGTTAAACTTTGTATTATTTCCTGTTCCTTGATACATGCTGATCAAAAAGAGCATCGCGATTCACCATCTCTGATATACAGTGAATGAAAAGCACTTCTTTCCGTCAACTGCAAACAGTTTTATATTGTATATATTTATTTTTATATATAGTGTATTATAAATATAGTATATTTTTATTTCATTACTTTAATTCTGTTTTCTTGCTCTGTGTCAATCTGAATAAAGGAACATCTTATTATGATGTCATCAATAATGTGTGATCAATCATCACTGAAGAGAAAAATGCAATGTAATGTAATGTGTGTGTGTGTGTGTGTGTGTATGTGTGTGTGTGTGTGTGTGTAAGTGTGTGTATGTGTGTGTGTGTGTGTGTGTGTGTGTGTGTGTGTGTTTGGTTGTGTGGGTTTGTTTGACTTCGGGGACAATGTTTCAGCAGTTAAACTGGCGGACGGCTTGACAAAAGAAGGGACGGAAAGCTGTGTCCCTGTTAGTCTCAGGAAATGAATGTAAGTGTGTTTATTTATTTACGATGGACAACTGTGCTTTAATCAACATTTACAGTTAACACTTCAGCGTAATTGTGCCAGAGTTTGCACATCCTGTGATTAATGTCATTCAAACAAACTACAGACCAGTAAAAGTACTCTCTTAATGTGCAACTGTGTAACACTGATTATGTGTTAATGTGTTTGGTTGTGTAATGTGCTGGTGCTGCAGTTCTCTCTCCTCCCACTGGGAGGCAGCAGAGAGCACAGTGATGGGGGAGGCAGCAGCCAATGACAGAGCAGAATACTGCAGGGTCAGACAGTACTGATGCTGTTATATATCAGATTATTCTGATATTTATGTAGGAGCTCATTTTTAACTAATGATTATTTTTACTGCTGATTATTGATCCATTAATC